GGGGGGTTGGGTTACTGAGTGGCTGCTTGTTTTGGTGTCAGGATTTGTGTGTATCTTCCTGGTGATTAGGCAGGGTTTTTTCTTCTATTGGGTTCTATCCATTTTAATGAACAGCACCTATAGTTTTTAGTACTACACACTTACTTCCATGAAGAAAGCAGTGCCAACCCTTTAGACGCAACCTAGCATGCTTTGTGTATCTAAGCATCTTTTATACTGAAAAGGGTCAATGTGTGTGAATGCAAGCTTGTAAAAGACTTTTCCGCAGATCTCCAGGAAGGGAAAGATTGTCAATGCAAATTCTGTGTGTGAAAATTAATAACAAGAAAGAGCAAGCAAAAGCAATTGAAAATGAATATGCACACACTCATAGGTATATTTTCTATATTGTGCGCTATGTAGGAACTACTAGATTGATTTATCATGCTAAATGTCTGATTTAGAATAGATGAGTTAAGAGTGCTGAAGGGTTTAGTGTCCTGACATCTCTTTAATTAGCAGTCACTGGATCCTTCACTAAGAAGGCGCTAAGCTACTGGACTGCTGTCATACTTCAAGGGTTTTAGAAGGTTGGAAAGCCCACAGAACAAATCTACAGGTTTGTGCTTGCTGGAGATATAGAATGAACAGCATACCATTTTCCCATTAGAAGCAAAATCAGACTTTTGCTGGGCTTCAGTGGTGATGCAAGAGTAAAAAAATTCAACAATAATCTGCCAAAGAGAAGCCAAGCAGGATGGGTGAAATGAATAAAGAAGATGTTGAAAAATATTTGGAGAACAACCCACAATTTGCCAAGGAGTTTTATGATAGAAAACTTCGTCCAGAAGCAATAAGAAACCTCTTCGGAGTCAACCCTGAGAATGTGAAGGAGGGAGTCTCCTTCAAAGAGATGACCAAGCTAGAAGAATGTGAGATACTTTTGGAATTACTTTTGGAAATCCAGGAAGATGCAGCCGGTATGGAAAAGACCGCACATAAAGTCCTGCAAAGGTCGGCACAGTTACTAGCAGCTGACAAGTGTAGTATGTTTATTTGCCGTTCCCGCAACGGTATTCCAGAGTTAGCTAGTAGACTCTTAGATGTCACCTCTACTTCCAAATATGAGGACAACTTGGTGCATCCTGAAAAAGAAATTGTTTTTCCTCTGGACATTGGAATAGTAGGTTGGACTGCTCATACCAAGAAATCATTTAACATACCGGATGTCAAGAAGGTGAGTAGGAGCCTTCTCTGGGTTTGGAGAATTGGTAAGGTCATTTTATGAACTGGAGTTGTGTAGAAAAATTCTTTAAATTAGGGGCATAGAACTACAGACACTTCCCTTAAATGTGCTAAGTCTCTGAAATGGCTGGCACAACATAAATACATTTTTCAAATAGAAAAGTATTTAACAATTCATATGCTTCAGCACCTTAAAACAGCTTTTTCTAGGGCACAATTTAAACTATAGACAGAAGAGGGAAGGACTCTTATTTCTAAAGCAAATCTGTACTTGACCTAGTTGATGGCCAAACCCCTACCTGGTGCCCCTCCTGAGCATGAGTCAAAATTCAGGACATTTTCAACTCACATATTTCAAACTGGGCTGAAATTAGGCTTATTTATTTAACAACATGCAGATACTGGTTTCTGTATAATTTGAGAAGATGAGTCAGTCTACAGTACAGTATTTTACTTTGAGGGGATTCCCTATATCATGAATATTAGAAGGACAGTGCTAAGACCAATGAGATAACATTGTTCTTGATCTCCTTGGTCTATTCTCCTGTAATCTACTTTGTGGATTTAAAAGGATTATCCACCAAGTTCCTTTGTTGATAGCAACGGGCAATACATCAAATATCGCTTGATATTTCCCATACAGCACCTGGGCTGATTTTTGTGCTGGAGAGGGATATTTGGCTAAAACAAACCACAATGGGCCCATGCCTCAGTTAGTCTAATCTGGGCTGTCTGGCATGCTTTCCTCCCATTATTTTTAAGCCAGGGGCATAATCCATTAGCAACTTTCGCTTGTGGAAGCCCACTGAAATAAATAGGAAGCATAGCATTAAGCAAGGATCTAGGGGTGCATTCTGCTTCCTGGGTATCATCCTAAATCACAGCCAAAATCTGTCACCTAATAGAGCTGCTTTGATTTTCTTACTAAGTGTGCTCTGTGAGTCTGGAAGTAATTTATTGCAGAATTGGTCTTCTTCTGGCATCTATTTCTGATCATATTTTTGTGGGTGCAGCTATTTCAACCCCATACCACTTATGAACACTATCAATCTGATCCGTTCAGCCAGGCACACCTAAAACTAATCCTGAATGGAATTAAACTGTCAATTTAATGTAGCCTACCTGTTTTGCATGTTGACTTCTTACAAAAGCAGTTTCATGTAATTATTATAGATAATTAAAAGGATATCAGCCTGGGAACATTTCCTATGAATTTTGACTGTCTTTTATAGATTCTTCTGCAGAAGATGTGTATCTTTTGAACTAGATGTAAGGAATTGGATTTTTGATCCTAACAAGAGCAAGAAAGAGTTAGTAACTAATGTAACTTATGAACATTATAGTACCACCACTGTCTGCATGTCCAGTCTTCAACTTTATACAGATTTGGAACATAATTTTTCAGACTACATTTTAAATTCAAAATTTGAACCAAATATTAGGATCTCATCACTGATCCCTTCCTGTTGATATGATTTCTCACTGTTTGGCTTTCTGAACACAGTCCTGCATTTCTGAGCTGTTGTCACTGTTATAATTGTGATGATGATGATGATAACAATAGGAATAATAATGTCCCATCTCAAATATTTCATTCTTCAGTCAAAACTCCCACTGCCATCATCATTACATTTACATAAGGGAATTCTGCAAATATAGGCTCTTAATTAGCATCATCATTGGAAATAAATTGTATTAGGAATTGCTTGGCTGAAATCATTTCTAGGGTTATTTTTTAAAGCATAATCTCTATGTAGTTCATATGCATACGTTTCAAAGAAAGATGTGTCTTTGGCTAAGCACAGAGCATTTTCATACATTTCTTATATCACAGATGATTACACTATTAATTGTTAAAGATACAGAGGGGACACCAGCAGTTTAACTCGATTCCCATTCTTTCTGGGAGTAGGGTGAGTGAGCGATACTCTACAACCAATGGTAGCTCGGAACAAAACTTTGATTGGATGATGTTCTCTGCATGCTCCTATTAGTCAGTTGGAGGGAAACAAGGTGAGCTCTGATTGGTTTATGTTGTTCTGTTTGTTTCTGAAACTGGTGGAAGTGAAGACAATCACAGGGTAGTTTCTCTTTGTGAGGAATTGGAAGTTGCAAGTTGGAAATACTGCTGATGTGAAAGCACCCTTACTTTTAACTCTTTATCAGATTCTTAGAAGAAGAACAAAGGTCTTTCCAAATCCATTATGCAAGAAGCAAAGAAGTATCCCCCCCACCCAAAGATTATAACTAGAAGTTAATAGTGAAAAAAGTACGTTCATTCTGGCTCATAAGAATGCAATATCTAATTTCAGTGGGAGATGATGAAAAATTGTTTCTTTAACCTAAAATTAGTCAGCCAAACAGTAATATTAAACTTCTAGAACTTACACAAACTACCTTAGGAAGCTCTCCAGAGATTCAGAGCCATTCTTCTCCAGAATCAACTAAACTTTGGAGTCAGGAGCTCCTGCTGACTGTTTGGTTTCTTCCCATCTGCTCAACTTGGAAATCCAGAAATAAACACTTCAGAAATAACTGTATCTCCTAATCTCCACTTTTATGAGAAAACTGTTATTGCCAATTGACTTGGTACTTCCTAGTGTCAGATACCATGTGTGGGCTGCAAAATTCCACTCAACTGAATTTTATATATCTCTTAGTGGCCATGTGGATTTTTACAGACTAGGTATGGTAATCCTCTCAGGTGGAGAACATAAAGGAGCATATTTAATTATTGGAGAGTGCTGAAAACCAATGAAGATTAATTTTTAACAAAACCAGCATTGAAATCTACCCTTTCTCAATAGGGCAGCAACTCCAGTTTTATTACATGTGGAATTACGAAAACTGGACTGCAAAAATCTAGGTGACAGTTTGATGGCAGCAGAGAGATACAGAAAATTCTAGACCTTTGCAGATGAGATCTGGTAGCCCTCATATATATTAAACTCAAAATAATCCTTTCTGTTTAAGAAGGTACAATTTAGGAGAACAAATAGTGGTTTCTCATACTATCCATCCTGGCCTAATCAAAAGAAAGTTCTCTCACTGGAGCCTTGGAAGGAGAGGGAAGCGTATCAAAAAAGTCAAATTGGTGGCCGTGACTGCACAATTGAAGCCCCTTTTGTTATCTGCATTGGCTTTTTTGACCTCCTAAGGCTAATAAATCATTTAATAATTTCCTTCTGGTTTAGGATTAAAAAATGGCTATTTGGTGAGGAATTCTGAGCTTCACCCAAAGCTTTGCTATAAAAAGTCGGTTATTGTCCTGAAGTAAGCCAATCTTCCTGGAAATAGGTAAGAGAGTGTTCACACAAAACAGCATTATTTCTGCTCCTTGTTTCTGAGGAAAGCAATAATTCTCCTTCAAAATAGGTTTTTCTTCATAAGATGATTAAACTTTAGTTCAGGCCTCTGTAAGCAGACTGATAATGAGTTACAGTATCTAACAATCCAAAGGCAATAGTATTACTTGTGTTATGTACTCTTTGTTCTGTTTTTCAGTGACAAAGTGAGTATGTTTCATGTTTCACTGTTTCATGTTGTGAACTGGGAAAATTGCGCCTACATTCTTATATATATTCAAATTCAGTTTATCTTCTACATATTTATATTTAAGAAGGTGCAAATAGCTGGCAGCAGTAGCATCCTTGGGAGAGTCAAAATAGGGGCACATTGCACATACAAAGGGGGGGGAGCTTACATCCTAATGCTGCAACCACTATATTGCCTATTTTCACACACACACACACACACACACGGACATTGCTGCCAGACAAGAGTGTGTGTATGTGCAAATAAATCTGGTGCAGAGGTAGGGGAAGACCAGTATCTATCATGCCTCCTAATCACCCTCAGAAGCTGTCTGCATGGGAATGTTCATATGATCCACATCCTGAAATTACACATACTTTGTTATGCATGTATGGAGATTCGTGGGAAAACACACTAAGTAGGGTCCAATTGGAATAACTCCATTTGTCCTCTTCTTGTTTCCACAAAATGAATGACAAAAGCAGAAGAACTGAGTAATTCATTATAGGTGGTCCTCGACTTATGACCACAATTGGGACCAGAATTTGCGTTGCTAAGCAATGTGGTTAAGTGAGTCACACCCAATTTTAAGACCTTTTTTGCCATGGTCTTTAGTGAATCATGTGGTTGTTAAGTGAATCTGGCTTCCCCCAATGGCTTTGCTTGTCAGAAGCCCCCTGAGAAAGTCGTAAATGGCAATCACATGACCCCAGGACGCTGCAACTGTCGTAAATACATGCTGGTTGCCAAGTGCCCAAATTTTGATCATGTGACTGCAGGGATGCTGTGATGGTTGTAAGTGCGAGAACCAGTCATAAGTCGCTTTTTTCAGCGCTGTCGTTACTTCGAATGGTTGTTAAATGAATGGTCGTAAGTTGAGGACTACCTGCAAAGTATTCTTATTGGGTCTTTGGAGCTCTTTGGATCTGAAGGCAAAAGACTGCTTTGATGAAGGAGGGGCATGGAGTATTCAGGTGGCACCCATTTGCAACTCCTTTGGCAGCTGCATCTTTCCTCGGGATCATGTAGCAGCTGTCCTACACACCTGCAGTGTGATTTCAAGCAAAGACACATTGTTAGAATGTACTATGTGAGCACACCTGGGCAATCAGATTTATTTATTTATTTATTTGCTTTCAAATTCAAAGTGAAGTTTTGGGTTGGAGTGCAAGAAATCTGGAAGGCTACTTGGAGAAAACTTGGAATGGAATTAATTACAGTATAATGCAGAGGCATCTATGTCCAGGCACAATGACACCAAAATGACAAAACATGATGTCATACTAGAAGATCCACCCTTTCATGCTTGGGTCATGATACCAGATGCAAATACATAAAGCAGTGTTTCTCAACCTTGACAACTTTAAGACCTGTGGACTTCAACTCCTAGGATTCCCCAGCCAGCAAGGCTGGCTGGGGAACTCTGGGAGTTGAAGTCCCGTGGTCTTAAAGTTGCCAAGATTGAGAAACAATGGCATAAAGGATAGAGCTTCTGTTGCAACATTATGATGCACGTTTCAACACTTGCCTCCACAGCCCTGCTCCTTAGATGCCCATGATATAACTGTGTCATTCTCTCAATACACTTCTCCGTGTTAAGGGATAAATGTGACCTATCTCTCAGGAGTGTTATGAGACAAGCAAAAACTATTCAGTTCTTTGCAGATTAAAAATGTCCTCTGGATTATCCATAGTCACCCCTGAATAGTGAACTAATTGCTCCTGTTTGTTTCAGAATAATCACTTCTCTGACTTTGTGGATAAGCAGACTGGCTACACGACCATCAACATGCTCACTATTCCAGTTGTGCAAGGCAAGGAAGTTCTTGCTGTTTTCATGGCACTTAACAAACAAAATGCCCCTGAGTTCTCTAAAGAGGATGAAGATGTAAGTATGGAGTGCTTTTTCAAGAAAACACATTGCTTTGCTTAATCACTCATCTTTCAGTGAGCAGCCTGAGATCATCTAGCATTTAAGCATTGTTCAAACTTAACATGGGCTCCATGGATTTCTTATGCACCTCCAAGCAGAAACTTTAAACACAAAGAGGTATATTTCACTGAAAGGTATGGAGATGCCACCTACCTCCCAGAGGTGTCTGTGAGGGCGGGCAGGGGAGCATCCAAAAAATCAGGAGGGTAGCTTCAACTGTGTGATTAAAGCCCTGCCTTTTTTAATATGCTATGCATGTGATACACATAAAAAACAAGAGAGCTTCAACCCAGCAATCGTGGCTGCCATCTTGAATTTTAATTTCACTATGGATGCCCCTGCTCCCTACAATTCTGGTGGCAAATGATGATTTAGCACATGAACCAGCCAATGTTAAATACCTTTCAAGGTAGGGACACCTTTTTAAAATTAGAGGATGCACTTTATTTACTTTGGATTATTATTTTATTTACCGTCATACCACTCTTTTAGTATTTTACTATTTCCTGCTAGTATGATTATTTCAAAGGCTGCTTTGGCATGATATGTGATAGCTCTAGAGTTAGCAGGAGCAACTTTTTCACCCTACTTTTTTCTGATGCTAAAACTAGACATGTAAAGCAGTGTTTCCTCAAGATGCAACTTGCATTTTAGGGCTTGAGTCATGAAAAAAAGAAGAAAAAGTTGGGCTTTTGAAAATCCTAATTTGAGTGATGACCTTAAGAGTCACTGAGGATTGGGAAAAAAAAGGCTTGGGGGGCCCTTATCTGGCCCATAGCCCTGACTATCTTCTGTTTTAAGGCCAAATTCTTCCAGTAAGACCCAAGCAGCCATGAGGTTAACTCCTCTGCTGAATCTAATGGAACTGTAAATGCTTAAGTTTGGTCTATATCAGTGTTTGTCAGCCTTGATAACTTTAAAATGTGGGCATTAAATCCCAGCATGGCTGGCATTCTGGGAGTTGAAGTCCACACATTTTAAAGCCAGCAAGGTTGAGAAACACTGGTCTAGATAGTGTCCAAGAATTTATTTCTATTTTTTCATTGCAGGTCTTTAGTAAATATATTCATTTTCTTTCACTTGCTTTGAAACAACACCACACTGCATACCTGTATAACATTGAATCTAGAAAGAGTCAGGTAAATTATTATTTGTTATGTATTTTAGTACTCAATTAAATGCGATTATTTTGTACTGATAGTTTGGTTTTATTTTTTCTCTTGCCAAGAAGACATGTTATGCTGCCATTTATTATATTTGGTAACTATGTTAGTTCCAGATAACCTAATATGTCATAGGCTCACCAGATAATATCAAATATCTTGAATGTTTGGACAGAAGTATCATGTCCGTTCTATCTCTCATCAGCCAGATTTTAAAATACTATTCCCCCATCCCACCCTGCCCTCTCTTCAATAGATACTTTTATGGTCTGCCAACAAAGTATTTGAAGAACTTACAGATATTGAGCGACAGTTTCACAAAGTCATGTACACTATTCGACAATATTTAAATTGTGAAAGATATTCCATTGGTCTGCTGGACATGACCAAAGGGAAGGTCAGTATAATTTTATTTACCACTAGAAAACAATTTAACTCCTTTTCATTCCTTGCTTTGAAGCAAAGTCACTTTTTATATATAAATTATAACTGAGCCATAAATGTAAAATTAAAATCCAAAGCATGATCTTTGAAAATGAAATCTATTACAAATCAATACAGCTTATTTCTTCAGATAAGGTGTGTTTGGAATGGAAATGTTATTTATCTTTCAGAAACCTTTGAGGCAAAGCTTGCCCATCCATATTGTTTTAACCATACTGTGTTCTCCACCCTGGTCCAAATGTTCTGACAAGGGGGCTCAAAACCAGGCACTATGGTATGAGAGAAGCTCTGCCTTTTTTACATGCATTGGGTGTACAATGCACAAGAGATGGGGTTTCCATTTCACAATCACAGATGCTATTGTCAGCCCTTCAAGGTAGTCCAGACAAGAAACCAAAACCATGAGTACTAACACTACCTTTATCGTAAGGTTACAATAGCAGAATCTTGCAAGTCTGAAAATCCATCTCTTCCCCCCTCTCCTGCCTTTACCTTCCAGAGAACTAGGAAGAGTCCCTTCTGAGACGCTTTCTCCACCTCCATTCCTTCTTTGGGCTGAGATATCTCATGTCTGACCATTGCCCTGGGCTGCAGCTCTTCCTCCTGTCTCCCAAGGTTATTCTCACAGCCTATCACATCTATCTTGTCCTATTCTGTAGATGCTGCTGTGTACTGAGCATATATCTGGTTGAGTGATGCAACCTATCAGAAACAGATTTTCTCTTATCTACTGGCTGAGAATGAGAATTGAAGTTATATATATATATATATATATATATGGAGGGCACCAGGTTTTTAGAAGCTTCTTTTATTCGGGAGCCCCTTCAATAATATTTTATTATTTCCAGGAATTTTATGATGAATGGCCAATTAAATTGGGAGAAGCAGAGCCTTACAAAGGGCCAAAGACCCCTGATGGTCGAGTGAGTAGACATGTACATTTCATCCATCCAAATTACAATTTGTGGAATGCTGGTATGTTTAAGATGATTGTGTTGCTTTTCCCCCTTATATTTAGGAAATTAACTTTTATAAGATAATTGATTATATTCTACATGGAGAAGAACACATCCAAGTAATTCCGTAAGTGCTTATTATTAGGTGCTCAGATAATAAATAGCTGTAGGAGTTCATGGTAAAATACAGAATGAAGGTTTTTATCTCATTCTCTTTCTTAAGGACACCTCCTGCAGATCACTGGTGTCTTGCGAGTGGCTTACCAACTTACGTTGCTGTAAATGGATTTGTAAGTTACTTTCCTACAATTCTCTCTGGGGCTATGTGCTGGATAGGTGTGTTTTGTGAGTAAATCTACATGTTCACTTTTGAACTAATCGTTTTTTATTTCACTATTTAGTAAATGCGAAACAGCAACATTCTGATGCGATTACTTGCAATCTTCTTTTACTTATATGTACTTAGGCTGTTTGACTATGATCAAATTGACTATGCTCTGTGGCACAAAAACATACCATTGGTCTATCTAGCTTAATGTTCTCCACACTGAATGAGAGTAGCTCAGGGTTCTAGACCAGAGGTTCTCCCTGCCCTACTTGTGGAGCTGTGGATGATGCCTAAAGCTGCTGGCTTGCAAAGTAGAGGTTCCACTACTGAACTACAACCTTCCTGCTCTAGCTTCTAGATCAGGATATCCCAAACTGTGAGGTGTATCTCCCTTGGGGAGGTGCAGACAGAATCCAGGGAAGCCGTGAAGAACCTTTTAGTTGTACATTGTTACAATAAATCCACCTTTCCCAAAGTTTCATTGTATTGTTTTCATTCTTCATTTGTATCCATTTTGGTGTTTGGATTTTTAGGGGAGGTGTGTTCATTAAGATTTACACTAAAGGGAGGTGTGATGGCAAAAAGCTTAGGAACCCCTGCTCTAGAAAGTGTGTTTTGTGAGTGATTAGCAATCTTCTTAGGGCAAAAAACCTGGAGGAGACCAGGGTATTGAAGATTTATTTAGGCTAAAATGTAGGCTTAACCATCATGATACACTATTATTTTTCAAGCATCGTTATCCACTTTCAGAAAGCACCCCAAAAATGGACAGTTCCAAATCATTTTTTCATTAGGAAAGCACACTGCCTCATTCACTGAATTTTATAGGGACAGTGTGGTCATTCAATCACTTTCAGGGTTCCCTACAGGTCATACTAAGTTTCTAACATTTTTCATATCACCAACTAATTAATAAATAACCCAATTTCCCTTGTTGAGAAGGGAAAGATGGAAAGAAAGAATATGATGCCTTTTGAAAGGTAGCAATAGGAACCAACCTTCCAAGCACCTGTATTTGGTTAGTGATGATGAACGCCAGTATTTAAATGTAGGAAGTAATTTTGATTGTTTATTTTTTCCCCCTAGATCTGTAATATGATGAACGCACCAGCAGATGAATATTTCACTTTTCAGGTAATACCATTTTTATTGGCTCAGCAAGCAAGCAAGCAAGCAAATAAAAAAATAAATACATTAATTCTTATTTTATACAGTCTGACCCACTGTATTTATCCTTCAGACATGCACCATACATACTGTGCTGGTTTCCATAAATACTTTAATAGCATTGCCTTTCCTTTTGCTTTTGTTTAGAAAGAAGCTTTTGATGAGACAGGCTGGACCATCAAAAATGTCTTATCTTTACCTATTGTAAACAAAAAAGAAGAAATTGTAGGTGTAGCTACATTTTACAACAGGAAAGATGGCAAACCATTTGATGAATATGATGAACAGATTACCGAAGTAAGTTTAAAGTTGGTTGACTTTATCAGCTTACAGTGAGGCACTGGAGGAAGAAATTTCTAGTATAAACTAATAAGTATGTATATCAGTTTATGTTTCTATCTGATCATCTCTGATGCTGTCCTTAAACAGGATTCAGAAACTGCGCCTTAATTTGCAAGCAAGAAGTTGATGTCTTGACTATGTCCTTAGGTACACCTCATTGTCATAAACAATGACAAGAAAGGTGGTGGAATACATTAGCTATTGGTACATAGGTAAAAGTAGCATGAAGGTCAATGTACCATCCACAACCTCATTATCCATCATTAAGAGATCACTGGAGGTCCACCAGATGGGCAACAAGCCCTCCATTCTGTCCCTGCAGTGGGATAGCTTGTTGGGAACCAGAGTGGCAAGTTTCATCTGTTTTGGCTGCACGAGTTTGTTTTTGAGCTAAATGCAAAGTGCTGTTCTTATCAGGATCATCTGTGTGTACGTGTGTGTCAAAAAAGTCAAGATGATAGTCACGACTGTGCAATCAAGGGCCCACCTCTTTTGTATGTGTGTCAACATCAGACATACACAAAAGGGGTGAGGTTTTGATAATTGTGACTGCCATCTTGATTTTTTGCCCTGCTCTCCCCCTTAATGGTTATCGTTATTATTTATTTATTTATTTATATTTCTAATTTAGACACCACCCATCTCACGAGGAAGTAGTTTTATATACTACTAAAACTCTCACTGTGTTCATCTGTTTGTTTGTACCCTCATTTTAGCCCAAACGGTGCATTAAACCACAACAATTTTTGAATCAACTAAAATCTACTAATTTAAAGAATCAGTAAAAAATCTGGGACCTGTTACTCCTATGGAATTGAAATTTACACAATGTTCAGACCAGTTTTATTCGCAAAGTTTTGGCCATTGCAGTGTCCCCACGGTCACGTGATCGTGATTTCTGACACTTCCTGCCAGCCTCCCACAAGCAAAGTCAATGGGGAAGCCAGCAGGATGTCAGAAGTCATTCCTACTCCCACTGCTAGTTTGCCTGGCCGTAGTCATTCTGTTTATCTATTTAGGTAAGGAAATATTGACTTATTATTGAAGTTCATTTGACACTAGAGTTACCTTTCTATTTATGATATACTATTCTTAGATGATCATGGGACCATCCAGCGTTGGGGTAAAAAAAATATGGTCAACCTAAAATTGAATGATATTGATATTCTGGTCATATCAGACTGCACTACCTTTCCCTCAAAGGATGACCCAATGGATCACAGGGCTGTCTGGTTAGCTTTTATAGCTCTAAATGGCTTTGAGCTGAGTATGTTAGACATGACATTCCCTACATATCCTTTCCCATGCTCTAGTTCAGTGTTTCTCAACCTTGGCAATTTTAAGATGTGTGGACTTCAATTCCCAGAATTCCCCAGCCAGCAAAGTTTGGCATTTCCTCTGTGGTTCCACCCACTTTGTGGTAAGCTCTCCCAACAGAGATTTATTAGGAAGTTACTCCACTTTTGGGGGGGTACTGTGCTTATTTACAGTTTTATTGTAATGCATGCAGTACCTTGAATTTTTAAGAAGATACTTCATTTAAATGTGGGATAATTCTTGGACATTTTTAACTATTCTGTTTACCTTCTCTTAGAAACAGTTATTCTTCCAGCTGATTAATTTGAGTCGTTTAAAATATTGCTTAATGTCTTGGTTTGCCAGTCAGCACTTTGTGCTTCTTCTCAGGGAAATAGGCAAAATAAACATCTGATGGATTGATAGATGGATAATTCCGTTAAAATCGGTTTTAACTAGGAGGTTTGTCATAAGCAGTACATAACTATTAAATATTAAAATATTAAATATTAAGATTTTAGGCTTTGAATGTGTGTTTGTGTGTGACAGACAGATGCATTACCTTAAACAATGAATTGCTTATAAGTAATCACAATGAATTTACCCAACTTCTTGTATATTAGTTAACAGCCCAAATTCTGAACTGTCCTGATTCGAAATATTTGCAGCCATGCTATATGGTTTTAATATAATCACATCAACGTTTATTGTATGACATGCTAGAATAGTTGCAGGCAACTATACAACAACCAAAAATTGTGCTAATAATTTCAGTGGGGATTATCCAAAGAAATAAAAGCAGAACAAGTTTGCTAATTAATGCCGTGCAAGCATTAGGAGAAGATCTGGCCCAGTGGAATCTCAGGAACACCAAGACAGTATGCAAAGCAATCCCAGGACTGTGCAGAAGGGCATTTCTGAATTCAAGCCATCAATATGCTTATAATATCTATAGAATTAGGAAACCTGTACTTTCAGCCTGAAACACAGAGGTGGCATCAATCTTGTGCCGTAGCGTACCAGGATGTCTCCCAATCGTTTTGTAGTTTCTTCTTCCCAGTCTGGTCCAACAGGAGCCCTACCTTAGAAGTCCTATGACATAGGAGAAGGGGATCCATTCTGCTAATGGTGTTACCTACTTGGTATGCCTACAAAACTGGATATTGCTCATAACTTATTCATAGTTTGCCATGATCAGACAAGTCTCTTCTACAAACACACTGACTCCCTCTTCAGCACGCACGCACGTTAATCCGATATGTGAAAACTTACATATGATAAAACTTGCAGGATATTATGTGTAAAGATTTCTTGAAGTGGGTGAAAAGCAATTCAGGCATACAGTATGAAACCTAAATGGGGCTGTGGATTTGGTTTAGAGTTCAATTAATACAATGACTCATGGAGTCTTTTATTTCCTCTTTCATATGGGGGCATTGCTGAAAATTGGCAACTACATCATTCAACATCTTTGGATATGTTTTTAAAAAATCCTAAACAAAAGCTTCAAAGTGCTGTTGGATATGTGTCTTTCCAAAACTTGAAATACATTGGATAAGCCACATTGAAAACCCTAAATAGTTCTATTTCTCTGTGTCAATTCAGATGCTTACACAGTTCCTTGGATGGTCTGTTTTAAATACTGACGCATATGACAAAGCGAATAAGCTTGAAAATCGGAAAGACATTGCTCAGGAAATGCTCATGTATCAGACAAAAGCAACAACTGCAGAAATTAAAACCATACTGGTGAGTGTTCACATCCTGTGTGGAAGTGTGAATCTTATTGTTGGATGAACTAACTTGTTCCTTTCATTTGCTCCTTACTTTAAGAAATGCAAAGAAAAACTGAATCAAGATAATCTTGAAGACTGCGATGAGAAGCAGCTTATTAAAATTTTGGTAAGTAACCAGATGTTTCCCTAAATCTCAACTTTAAGTCTACACAGACATAGTTCCCTATTGTGGATATATACTTGGTGATTTATTAGTCTGCAGCCCCAGCTAGATGTTTTTAAATTTTATTTGTTCCACTTGTACCTTTTAATTTCACTTGACTTTAGTTAAAGGATAGTTGTTTGGACTGAAAGAGAGTTTTGCACACCAGAAACAATTAGCTAGGATGTAACAGATTTCATTACAGGGAAATGTAGTCAGAACTTTATTCTCGGCTGCAATGTATTTTAACGTTTGTATTAATATAATTGTTTTTATTTTTTAAATTTTGTTTGCTGACCAGAGTCATTTGGTGAGTTGGGCAGCCATACAAAATAAACAAACCAATAAACAAACTGCTATATTTGGACAGCTGAATAGATTGTACAAGTTTAATTTCTTCTACCAGTATTAACTATGACTATGAAGGAACCAGTTACATTTCTTTAACGTCAAACTCCCGATGGAAGGGTGCACTTTTAAGCATTGATTTATAATAATGAAAAAAAAATGGTAGAATGACTCCTTAGCTCCTTGCTTCTCTAGCTCTGATTGTACACTTGGCTCTGAGATGTATTTGAGATTATTATAAATACTCATGAAAGTCTTCTACACTTCAAGAATATACATAGGCCTTCCAGTGAAAATAGAATCTTCATATTGAGTTCTTTCCCTTCCCATCATATATTTCTAAGAGGATAAGTGAGATTTCCAGGGCCATGCTGTTGTGAGTCCCCCAGAGTTGTATTTTAAGATGAGCAGCCATACAAATCTTTTGAATGAATGAATGAATGAATGAATGAATGAATGAATGAATGAATGATCACATGGGGCACCAGGATGCCATTTGTACCAGCTGTCTTCTGTTACGCCTAGTTCTGCCTTGAGAAAGAGTGACCAAATATCATTAGAACTTTCCTGTCCCCAAGTATTCTTCATTTTGGATTGCTAAAATTTAAGTTTTAATGCATTGGATTATTTTTTTCATTCTTCCTTTCTCATGTTTAAGAAGCAGGATGAATGATAGTAAGAAAACCATGGGAAGCATGGAAATAGATCCTTCATACAGAGATCTATTGTGCACTGCCACATATAAAGGCTCTAATCTATAAGAAAGTTTGGAATCCTAGTTCTCTAATGGAATAAAGCAGGTGCCTCACTTTAAGACTGTCATTTTTCTGAGAGGGACTGATTCGTGGCCCTGAGCTAGTATCAGAATAACTGTCAGGACATGTAATTGCAAAACAAAACAAAACAAAACAAAACAAGAACTTGGCTTTGATGGTTGCAGCTGGACTGTTTACCCAATATATTCACTGCTAAGCTAGAGTTTCCTTGGTGAATGATTAGTTGCTATAAAATGTGACCGGTTTGGTTTAGGCATATCAATTGGCTTGGATGAGAAGTATGATTTTTTTGATACTACCAGCTGTGGGTCTTTCTGAGGGAGCTGCCTGGTTTGGGAATTTGTGGCACCCTTTTTTCATGCTAGTTGGAAGGTCAGTTCCAGATCAGTGGGGAATCCCTGCTTGGTGTACCATTTACGTTTTGGGTTGCCATAAACTTCCAATTACTCCATTCTGTTAGCCACATAAAACTATCCATATAAAACCACTGAGTGAAGCGAGGTCATCTAGAGAATCAGTTGAGGTATCCTCTATATGCTGATTACACTTCTGTTTTCCATCAGCTGAGGTAGCAGAAATATTAAAGCAGTGCTTGAACTTATAACAGATTAGGTGAAGAGGAATAATCATTCCAGATACAGCAGATTAGTAGGTGCTCTTCAGCCTGGAGGGGTCATGTTCATTCTGATTTGAATTGGCTTACAAGGATAAGGGTGCTCCTTAAACCATTCTAGCATGGAATATCTTTTACCAGCTGGATTCACCAGCTATAATTCTTCCTGGATAGAAATAGCTGGCCTCACTAATCCATGTTAGAGTAACTTCCAACTGAAAGTAACTTTACAACTGAAATGTACTTTGGGATGGCGATGCTTCTGAGAACAGTTCAGAAATTGTAACTGGACTGATTGTTTGACTTTGAACTGGAATCAGATGTTATGAACGTAAGATGCTGATGGTTCATCACTGCAGTGATTCCCAATTCCCAGTCCACTGCCAGGCCCCAGTTAAAGCACTTTTCTGACTTTTAAAGCTTGGGCTCAGGACAGTAGACACACACACACACACACACATTCATAGTTTATGATCTGCCTTTTTAGCCACCTGCTTCCTTCTCCATCTAATCCTCTATATACAGAATTCCCATTTTACTAGTAGTCCATCTCTCTTGCTATATAATGTACTGTTTTAGCCTATTCCTTCTCTGACGAGCATCACATTTCAATGTGTTTCCTCTCCTTTAAACTATAAACTGTATATAATTCACAAATATACCATAAACAATAAATAAGAAACATCTTCAGTTCCTAATGTTATCAATTACCTGTAACAGCACCTAGGGATTCTTCTACTGCAATAAATTTGACTTTATAACATGGGGGTGTTTGGTTCCCTCTGCCTCTTTCATGGTTGCATGGTATTCAGAGCAATATTCTAGTCTAATTGAATTCAGAGCACGTTTCACTCACTCACATTGGACCATCCTCTCTAACTCTATTATTGGACCACTCTGTATCAGGACTGATATTGCTCGGGTTGCAGAGTTTATATAGTAAAACCCCATGAGCTTAAGGTCCATCCTGAACAAAGGTGGATATTTACATGTTTCAATGTCACTGTGAGCTGAATTGATTCAGTTGATTCCAGAGTGGCCATTCGATGAATGAAGGTTACTCTTTCCATTGACAAAATCAACTGGAGCAACAGCATCTGTTGAATCCAGAGGTCTTGTCAGAACAATGAAGCATACCTTTCCTGGAATGCAGACTTCCTTAGATTATTCAAGAACCAACCGTGACCACACCAAGTGAGCTCGGGGTCTTATGCTCATGCTTGCAACACCATGACTCGTGTATCAAAAGGGCAGAGTTTGCATTGTGATATATGCTTCCTCCTTTTATACCCTCGTTTCCCTCTGCTGGATTCCCATGAATTGGAGGGAATACATTTTTATACATTTCTTTTCTATTCATTTGAATTCTCATGTTATTCTCAGAGTTGGCAACGTTTTGACAGCTGGGGAGCATGAGCTGGAAAGTGCTATGAACACCTGCTTGTCAGGTTTCTTAAAGCATCAGATTGGTCACTGTAGGAAGAGAATGGATTAGGGAGCCCTTTACTATGATGCGAAATTTTCTTAGGAGGGCAGTCATAATTTTTCACTCTGCTTCTTTGCTTGAAATTGCAAACCGTAGGGCAAAAGAAAGAATGCCATGTGCATGCACAAACAGGACATATTTGATGAGCCAAATTTAGTCTGAAGGGGCACAGATTGAGCCAGTCTGCTGTAAAATATATCTTCACTTTACAGCAAATGATCTGTAAACTGTAGATCAGATTATCTTTTCTTTAAATTATATCTCACACAAACTACCAGGAAGCATTATATTACACTGCCATAAAAATATGTTTCTTGTAAAAATAATTCATAATTATTGAATAGGTTAGTTTTTATTAGACATCCATCTTGACGCATGAGAATTCTGCATATGCAATGAGGTGATCCCAAGCTGTTGCCAAGGCAGCATTCCCACTAACAATAAAAGCTGAAAAAGGTTCCTTCCTAATCAAAGTATCTTTTAACCTGTCAAACTGAGGGTATCTTGCTTTTTTCCTTCAACAGACAGAGGAATTGCCTGATCCAAAGAATGCTGAACTTTATGAATTTCACTTCAGTGACTTCCCCGTTACAGATCATGACTTGATCAAGTGTGGAATACAATTATTCTTTCAGATAAATGTTGTAGAAAAGTTCAAAGTACCAGCAGAGGTCAGATTCATTTTGCCTTGTTTTAGTCAAGATGGTTCAGTATGAAATCTATGATATGTCACCTTTGCAAACTGAGATTTATTTTATCAGTTTGCATAGCAATGGCTTGGTCTTAGGAGCAAATATACCAAAAAACAAGTTCTAAACATGACATAAAAAGGACCTACTGGTGGACCCCATTGGGTTTCAGAGGGAATTTGGGGTTATTCCTAAGGCTCTGATGCATGATTCAACTAAAGCATTAGTCACTCCCTGGAATGAGGGATGTGATGGCCTGAGATGGGATTATACCTCGGCAGACTCCTACAGCACGTGAATCTGGAAAGCAAGCCCCTCGTTTTCAAAGGTATTTTGGGAGATGAAGTGGAAGAGACACTAGAGTGCTGCAGGAGAGAACAAAGAGTGAATCCAACTGAGCTTTTATAAAGGGTTACCTTGTGGCAATAAGAATGGCAAAATCTAATTATTTTTCCATTCTTATTGTATCCACAGAAAGTCCATCGGCAGTCTTGTTTATTGATCGTATTAGTTGATGCTGCTTGGTAGGATCAGGATGGAATAGTGCATCCATCTGGGCCCCCCTTGATTTCTCAGTGGCCTTCAATACCATCCATCAGTGTATCCTTCTGGGATGACTTCAGGGATTGGGAGTGAGGGGCATGACATTCTCCTCCTTCCTCTGGGACAGGTTCCAGTTTTTGTTGGTAGGAGGGGAGAGATTTAGCCTTAGACCCCTATTTTATAAGCTCCCTCATGGTTCTATACTCTCTCCACTCCCATTTAACATTTACATGAATCCACTGGGTAATGTCATCTATTGGCATGAGGTTAAGTATCATTAGTATACAGAGGATAATCTGCTATACATCTCTACTCCAGGCTGAACAAGTGATGCCATCAAGGTCCTTTCCTAATGTTTGGAGACGGGGGTGGGGGTCTGGCTTAACCCTAGCAAGTCTAAGGGTGTGGAGTAAAGTGCCCTTGGATCTCGGGGCCTTCCATCTTTAGTTTTGGATGGTGTAGCATTCACCCAGACAGAACTGGTATACAGTTTTGGGGCTTCGCTTGGGCTTTTGGCTCCTGCTTGAAGAACAGCAGGCAACTGTGACCCAGAGGGCTCTTGCACAAATCCACCTTCCATCCATTCCTGGACTGGGAGGCTACACTCATGTAATTCGTGTTGGTCACCTCCTGCTTGGACTTGTAAGAGTATGCGCGAATGACCTTGGGAGACAGCCACAGACTAGGCAATGGTTAGATAAGAGGCAGCTGAGCCCATAGAAGGAATGTGGGAATAGCAAATGTCTCAGAAGAGACCCTCCCAAGTTTCTTGGACTGTGAAGGCAAGGGGGGAGAGATGTACTTTCAGACTTGCAAGATTCTGTTAATGTAACCTTACAATAAAGATATGGGAATAGCAAATGTCTCAGAAGAGACCCTCCCAAGTTTCTTGGACTGTGAAGGCAAGGGGGGAGAGATGTACTTTCAGACTTGCAAGATTCTGTTAATGTAACCTTACAATAAAGATAGAGCTAGTACTCCTGGGTGTGCTTCTTGTCTGGTCAGCAAGGCTGACATCAATTTTGTAAGTCTGGAAATACATCTCTCCCCCTCACCTTAATAGCTTTAATAATCACAGTGGGATGATATTTTATACAGTGTTCACAAGACTTAATGGTAGAGCATGGAATGTCTCTATTTGTCACAGGTACTCACAAGATGGATGTACACAGTCAGAAAAGGGTATCGCGACATCACTTACCACAACTGGCGGCATGGATTTAATGTTGGACAGACCATGTTTGCTCTTTTAATGGTATCAGTTGTTACTTTGGATCTAAGCCTTATTTTGCCTTTCATTATGATATAGATATATAGATATGAAATGTTAAAAAAGGATCTCTTTTTATAGACCGGTAGGTTAAAGAAATATTACACTGAACTAGAAGCCTTTGCTCTGATAGCTGCAGCTTTCTGTCATGATATTGATCACAGAGGAACCAACAACTTGTATCAAATGAAGTGAGTGATTCATTTTGTTTATCCTTGGTTATTAAATAAAGAATATGTTATTTCATGTCACTATAAGACATTTCATGGTTAAACTAGAATTCTTGCATTTCCTTGACTATAAAGAGCACATAAGCCATGAAAACTCAAATGTAAGAGTCTCTCCAAGATGGAACCAGAGATCTATGTGCTTCAGTATCCTGGTTTCTTTTTGGGGTTGGAAGCTAATCAGAGTTAGGTCTGGTTATACTTGTATGGGAGACTAGCAGATACCCCTAAGGTATAAGCCCAATAAGAATTAAAACAAAAAACAGCCCAGAAAAAAGCAGCAGCAACCATTTCCATGCTATTGTGAGGACAACTGTCTGGTTGTGTCAATACTGTCACCAGGAGTTGAACCATCTTTATCATTTTTACCACAGTGACCAACTGGATGCCCCTGGGAAGTCCACAAGCAAGTTCAAATAGTTCTGTCCAGTTGAGCTCCACAGCAAAAGCTACTCACTATGGCATGGTTAGTATACTACTAACCATGGAGATTCACAGCTACTTAGATACTGCAGCAATTGATAGGAAGTACAAACCCTTGCATGACTTTCCTCTTTAAGGTGGCACAGGGATGGTGATCAGACTTGCTGATTCAGAGCCTCTCCTGGCACATACTCAATCACTTCCATTTCTGAAAATGGAATGTCAAAGACTGATATAAGTTGTCCTATTGTGCTTTTATTTGTTGCCTGCTATTATATTACTGTAATGGCTACTTTTAAATGTTTTGTTCAGACCTGGGTGTAGCACAGAAACAGCTTTGGCTGTCCTGATCAATAAGACAGGAGAGAGAGAGACACGATGAGTGCTGAATATCGGGGCAAGACTAGGTGCTGATCCTCCTTGATCTCTCAGTGGTCTTTGAGACCACTGAGCAGGGGATATTGTTGGACTGTCCAGGGGGGTGGAACTGGAGGGGACTCTTACAGTACTTCCATTCTTACCTGCAGAACTGCTCCAGGGTGTGGCAATCGATTTTTGCTTGGCCCATGTCACCCAATTTGTGGATCCCACTGGATTCAATCCTCTCCCCCTTATTATTCAGTATGTACGTCTGTACCTCCTGAAGTTTGGAGTTCGGTGTCATCAATATGCTGATGATTCTTAGCTCCGTCTCTCCTTTCCACCTGAATCAGGAAAGGCTGTGCAAGTGTTTGACAGTTACCTGGATGCAATGATGGCCTGGATGAGGCCCAGAAACTGAAGCTGAATCCATATAAGACAAGAGGTATATGGATAGACGGATTTATGAAGCTAACCTGCTTGGATAAGATAGTACTACTTCTGAAGGAACAGTGGTACACCCGGGGCATTCTCTCCCTAGTTATCCACCAACTCATGCCACTCACTCAGCTGGAGAAGCCCTGGGCTTCAGCCTTGTGGTAGTCAGGAGCAGAACATCTCCACAGCAACATCCAGATTATTGAACTCTTTCCTGAAAGATGCTCAGCTGGCAATCACATTTCCTTCTTTCGGGAAACAGTTGAAGAGATACCCATCCACTCAGGCATTTATGGGATAACCAGTCCAGGACCAGATGATTTTTAGATTACTTTATGTTTTAGAGAATGAAAGCACACTGATGGTTTTCTTGAGACTTATTTATTTATTTATTTATTTATTTATTATCTTGCAAGAAAACCAACAGTGTGCTTTCATTCTTTAAAACATAACATTTTATATATATTTATTTATATATATTAGCCATGGCCTGTCTTCCATCACTCGCAGCTTCTGAAATGTTTCCTTACTTTTTGAACAAATTTTACACATTTTGAAAGAGAAAAGTAAGGAAAGGAAAAGAAAGTAATAAGTAAGTGAAAAACAGTAGAAAGGAGAGGGGAGGGGAGGGGAGGGGGTTATAAAGAAGCGGTTTCTGGTCTTCTTAACAGCAGTTACAAGTACCTTTATATTTTACCATAAAGTCACAACATAATTTCCTTCTTTCCATAGTCTACCTTTTCTAATCATCAAACCCATAAATCACAAATTCATGTTTTTCTTTTTTCAGCAAAAAGTCCATAAAGGGTGTGATTTTTTTTTTTTAATTTTCCCCCCCTTAAACCTCTCTGAGCTACTCTAGAGGTGAGAGAGGTATAAATAATAATCATGATGAAGATGATAATAATTTTAAGGGGACCTCTCTATTTGGTGAATTAAAATTAACTGAAATGAAAACAGCTCAGTATTAAGACCATTCTATATCTGATACGTCCATTACATTTCAGAGGCTGCGAGTGGTGGAAAACAAGCCATGGCTAATCTAACAGTCACTGCTGGCCCAAGAAATTTGTCTCTGGGGTCTCAGATGATAATGGCTGAGCTCTTCTGAGCTTTGACAAATGCTCAAAAGTCAGCCCTGACACCTTCTGGAATCAGAGACTGACTAGCAGGAAGATTTGTTGTTGGAACTTAATTGATAAGAAGCAAATTAGCAGGAGAAACTCTACACCAAAAGTGGGGGATTTACAGGTAGAAAGCTTGGTATTAAATAAATACATAGATGGCCTTTAAGGGATGTAAATGGCCTTTGAAGAATGGGTAACATTTTTTGCCACATGGCAAGTTAAAGGGCAAAATTCAAGTCAGAAACTTTGCAGAGCTGAAAGCACCCATTTTGTTCCTCAAAATCTAACAAAGTGGAGCAGATCAGCTTGATTTTGTGTTAGGCTTCCAGGAATTTTAAGAGATAAAACAGGTATCTTAAGCAAGGCTTAATGCATCTCTTTTGCCCCGGATCTCCTCAAACAGAAACCAAGCCAAGTATTTGGTCCTGATACTCCAGCGGTATTCTGGGTATACAAACAGAGTGTTGCCTATACGCCACAGGTTGTTCGCTATTGTTCTAAAATGTACAAAACCAAGATTTTGGGGAAAAAGCGGATAGATTTTAAAATACATAATGTTTTACCAGGTCAGCAGCTCCATTGGCAAAGCTCCATGGCTCTTCCATTTTAGAACGGCACCATCTAGAATACAGTAAAACACTGCTACAAGACGAGGTCTGTGTTTATTTTCATTTATTTGGCATAGAAAGTATTTCTAGTAGCTACAGCAAAACAGTGGCATTAACACATGTCCATAATGCTATTTTCTATTTTGGAAGCAATATTGACTAGCAAAAAATCTTCATTCTGCAGAGTTTAAACATCTTCCAAAATCTAAACAAGCGCCAGTATGAAACTGTTTTACATATATTTGAAGTTGCAATCATAGCGACTGACTTGGCTCTGTATTTCAAGTAAGTCCTGTATTTTCTATTATAAAACAACAAAATCTTCTTACGCACCTTTAAATTGCCGCATTTTGTTATACTCTAATTTTAAGATGCTTATTTTGCTTTTGTGTGGTTTTAGTCATCATTAAAGCAAATAATATAAATATTGACAATTGAACAAATCTGTAACTATGTCAGATTTGAATGTCTGCATGGCTATGCATCATAAAAACTATTGCATTCCAATGCATTTTATGTAACAATGTATAGTTAGATGCCTGAAGTAAATATGATACTGAAATTCTATTATCTTAGCAAAATTCATTTAGTAGAGTTCAAGCATCGGGGCATTGCTATGCTTAAAATACATGATAAACATTCCTTTCTGCTTTGTCAACTAATTCCTGGATCTAATTTCAGGAGCCCTATTAGACTCAGTGACATAATTCTGTTGACTGCCCTGAATCTATCAGGAGTTTCTCACTTATCCACACATCTCTCAAATATGGCTGATAGGGTTGGGGACTGTCCAGAGCAGATCTGGACCATACACAGAAAACTGGAGGGGAGGGGAGGGGAGGGGAGGGGAGGGG